CTGTCCAGTGCTGAAATGGCTGGCGCCTTGTCTGCCCCTGCTGTGCTGTCACCACAGGCCCTGTCCAGTGCTGAACTTGATTCTTTACAAGATTTTAGAATTTAACCCATTTGCCACTAGCCGGCACTTCAGACAGGACCCTAACTCCTTCAACAGCGCCCATACGAGGCTCCTCAGGTTCAGCACTGGACAGGGCCTGTGGTGACTGCACAGCAGTTGCAGACAAGGCGCCAGCCATTTCAGCACTGGATACTACCACCCCAGGTTAAATCATGTTCAGCACTGGACAGGGCCTGTGGTGACTGCACAGCAGGGGCAGAAAAGGCGCCAGCCACTTCAAAACAAATGCTCTATGTTGAATAGAAGACATCTGTATTCAAAGAGTTTGTCAGTTAAAGACCATTATTAATTCATCAAAATTCGAAAACCAGGCTACAACAAGTGTATTCGGTTTGCATTAGTGAGGTAACTCTCCTTGGCTATTTCCATTTCTACATGCCCAGAAATTCTTTACGAGGAGGAGAAGTAACAGCAACTTTTCAGTCTGATTTATGGATAAGTACAAAGCCAGCTAATAGTTACAACTCTTTTGAACATTTAACTCTAGGTTTTACTCATTCATACTGTAAAGCAGAAAATCACTTCTATTTGTAACTCTATGGCCCTTTCTCTCAATTTTTAGATTTTCAAACTTAAAGGCAGACATAGTCCTTATGTTGGGGGATTTTAAATTTCAGGCCAATATGAAGGGGATATCTCAAATGCCACCTTTAATGGTACCTTCTTCAAAGTGCCATAGTGTAGCGATGCTTTCCTGCACGACCTCACCAGCTTGCATCACAGAATTTGTCTGTCGGTTGGTCATTCTGTTGGTTCAGTCAATTAATTGATCATTCTACCTGTACGCTGCAACATGATAATGCTCCAGAAGGTAAAAATAAATAAACTAAGAACTAGCTGGAACCAGAAAGTAATAATCCCTGTAAAGAAAGAGTTTAAGCTTAGATCCTCCTTTGATTCTCTAGGGTGATTTGAATGAAGCCAAAATTACTAAAGAGAAACCTCAGAGCTGGTAGTGTGAACATTAACAAACTTCTCGGACTGATATCAGAGACTGATACTGGCTACAGAATTGATTTAGCTGTTTTGATAGAGAGAAACCAAATTGGTACAATTATACTAGCCATTGCTATGTTAGAAAAAAAACAAAAATGTTGTTGAAATTAAATGACTTGAATAGTCTTTATTTTTCCCATGAATGTATTTACCTTTTCATTGACAACACTTTTTCCATCCCAGGCCCAGCCTCGCTTGGTGAAATAGTTAACTGTAGCAAACTCAATTAGTGCAGAGAAGACAAAGGCATAGCAGACAGCAATGAACCAGTCCATTGCAGTAGCGTAGGCCACCTTCGGCAGAGAGTTACGCGCACTGATGCTGAGGGTTGTCATTGTGAGGACAGTGGTCACGCCTGGGAAAAAAAAAAAGGTTTAGTAAAATAAACTAAGTATTTCAATATCTGTTCTCTTATGGGGTTCCATTTGATCCAAAAATGTGTTCATATGTTGGGAGGTGTCCATTTGTGGATGTCTGTATATGTAATGTGTGTATCTGACATGCTTATATAACAGAAGCTGTATATGTAGTGGGTTTATGCGTATATGACCGATGTATATATCATCTTTGTATGCTGTGTGCATATGTATTGTGTCGATGTGAAATATTATGTGCAGCCATGAGTCATGTCATGAGTTGTTCACTTTGTCCTTATGTGTTTTAACCAAGTGGAACCTGTCCTCTTCTACTGTTATCATGTGAAATTGTTCTACTTTATTCTCCCTTTGGCGTTAAAAAATGTTATCACATGATGTTTTTCTGCCCCGTCATCTGCCTCTGCTGTTACAGTCTGTCGTTCTTCCCTGTCGTCCATCATGTCGTTTGCCTTGTCACTGTAACAGGGTTATTATAACTAGCTGATGAGGCCAAGTAAGATCAGGGGACAACACTGCCTGACAGAAGTGAGGACGGGGAACACGGCAGGTTGCAACGAGCTGTTTGAATGATCCGTGAACAAATTTTTTGCCCAATTGGACCCATACAAGTACAGTGTTTTGACAGCTTATTATAATCAATGTTTTAATTTTAACTTTTTTTTAATCGTGATATGGATAGTGGGCGTTTGATTGTCCAGTCAACATGTTTTGTCCAAAGCTTGCCACCATGAAATCTAAACTCTCACTGAGCTATATCAAAGAATCAGGAAGGGTCCAGTTTGGTCATCAAGTAATTTAATTTGGGACTGTTTGGTAGATCAGCTTTGCACATATATGTTTGCACAAGTTATTAAAAAGGAACTAATGAAAGATCTGGCCCATAGTCTATTATTTACTGTTTATGTTTTATAGTACTAAGCAGTACAGCTCAGGGCTGCTTAACTCGTCCACAAGACCTTCCTCTCTTCTCTTTCCTGATTTTCTTCTCTATCAGGTGAAGATCTTGGTGAGGAATAACCTGCATTATCATAGTTGGAAATGCTCTGCTTGCTATGTTTGTATTCCCCACATGCAATTACAACTGATACTCACACAAGAGGACTTTAAATATGTTATTTTAATATATTTGAAGTCATCAAGTCATTTTTCTTTTTGGGGGGGGGGCGGGGGTGGCATTGCAACTATTAGGTGGGCCTTTCTGTTTCTTTTCTTTCTACAGTGCCTTATGCCTTTGAACCCTCATGAACTTCATATTACATCCAACAATATTAGTGTCATGATGATTTAAATTATATTGCATCTGACTAAATGAGTAATTAAAACACCTCGACTCCTTTTATTAGGCCAAAATTGGTAGGTCAATCACATTGTCATATTAGGTCAGGTTGGTTTGGATGGTAATTTCTAAAGTGCTTTTTCCTGATTACATCGAGAATTAAGAATACATGCAGACACTGATATTTATATTGGATTTTTATTTTTTTTAAATGAAACTTTTTAAGAGAAATACATGGAGAGGAATTTAATATTAATCGTAACTTTCTTGACAGCTGCCCATCTGTATTTACATCCGTATATTTCAATTCCAGTTTTCTGTAGTTTAATTACTTAAAATCCACCATTTTTGGTGGGAAACTAACATTTCAACATAAGAGCTGCACAATAAACCCAGATTTCAGTTGAATAGCTAGCATTGCGATTCAGTGAACTGCCGAGGCAGCTGCTGTTCTGCCTCCCTGTTGTGCACAGTCTTCAGCAGAAACTGTTGCAGTGTTTGAATGTGCTTTCATTTTCCTCTTCATTTAAAAAACCTTAACTTTTAAAGAAGAAGAAAAACAATTTTAAATAACTATAACCCCTTTGCGTTTGATTTGATATGTGAAGTGATATAATTGTTAAGATCTGGAAATTATTACAGTTTTAAAATATCTCTTTAATCTTTCAGAAACTGTGATCTCCAACTTAAAATGTCATATTTCAAGTAACAAATATAAAAACTCACCAAATACAGTTCTAGCTGGCACCGATTCCCTATTGAGCCAGAAGGAGACCTGGGAGAGGATGACGGTCATGATGCAGGGCAGATACGTCTGAATTACGAAGTATCCGATCTTCCGCTTCAGGTGGAAGTGAGCTGTCATTACTGTGTATTCACCTGAGAGCAACAGGAATACACATGTCCACCTTGCATATTAAAAAAATTCTTATATTAAGAACAGAAATGACAAACATGCAGAAAATAATGATAATTTATTGATTATTCCACCTGGTCTTGATATAATTGTTACTGTTGTGTTTGATATGATTACTCTTTACTTTGACATATTTACAGCTACTGTTAGCAGGAAATGTACTCGGCTGTTCTGTGCCTAGTGAATTAAACACACATTGATATGATTTGCACCCTTCAGTCACCTTGTTTGCTGCAACACTTGAAAACAAGAAAATTTAATCTTATAAAAAGAGAGTTTATAAAAGAAAACACTCCAGGAGATGAGAAATCTGTTAGCAGGAGACTTTAAAAATTAAGTTATGAAGATCCCTTTTCCTCCCATCATGTAGTAATAGTGCCGGATATGCCATAGATGAATCACAGGCTAAAATATTTAGCAAATATCTGAATATTTTGAAAAGACAACTTAAAAAAAGGAAATAAATCAATTAATCACATGGGTCTGCACTGGGCAAAAGACCACCACAACTGAATTGAAACCCTACATTTAAGCCTGCAACATATTTAGGACTACATGAGGCAATTGGGTCAATGTGTATATAGGGAGGGCTAAGTATTTCGAAAATGTAGATTGTTAGGTCCCCAGGTGAAAAGCAGAAGTTAAAATGATTTAAAAAATCTTTTCCTTAAAACAAAATTATAATAGGTTTTGTTCCTTTAGAGAGCATAATCTCAAATGACCACAAGAGTCATATCAGTCTCTGAGCCCTGAGACTGTTCTGCATCAAGAACCATTAGTTATTAACAGTTGATTTCAATGGAAAACTTTGATCTTATCTACAATTAAAATGTTTAATATTGGGGCTAAATCTTTGCGCATCAGAACAAGGCTTTATATTATTTTTTTCAAGAGGGAAGGTTCACTTCTTTGGGGTTAGAGGCATTGGGAATAGACCATAATAGAATGGAAGACATTCAGTCTGTTGGCAACAGCAAGTCTTGACAAAACAGATGCTGGTACGAAGTTTGAATTCTCTTGTTAAAAGCTAATTTCCAGTTTTATGTTTGTAGAAAACTCAGCCAGGAGTTAGGGGGGGGAAAGTGTGGCTGCACAGGTTTTTTCAAATGCATTGCTGTGCATAAAGAGTGTACAATATTCTGATTTATCCTAAATAGAGAGAGGTAGATATATCAGAAAGGAAAATTTCAATGAGAACAGGCCTGTGCGGTTAGAACCCTTAAGTTCGTTGAAATCTAGATCTAGTCCAAATAACAGTTAAAATAGTTTCTTTAAATGGGCTTTTAGGTGTGGAAACAAATACTATAACATTTGAACAGCTTCCAAGAAATTTTTTTTTCATATTTCTAACTTGGGAATTCATGCATATTGAAAGAAACTGGTATAGTGTAAAAACCGTACGAGAACCCCCTGGTTCATGATTTGGCATTAAAGCTGACATTCTTCTGTTTGTCTGATAAGGTAGTGTGTATGGAGCTTACCAGTGCTGGATTTAATGGTCTCCTTTCCAACAGTCTGACCCACCAAGTCATACTGGTTGAGCCTGGATCCATCATCAGCCACATCTACTGACTGAGAGGCATTTCTTGTCCAGATGTAAGTTACCTCTGTCTTAGTGTAGGCATCTAATGCAGAGATAAAACACATATTGCAAAACGGCACATCACAAATATTAATACAATTATGTATTAGTATTGAGCTCTCCGAAAAGAGCACCTTAAACCATTATTATTTCTATAATCCATTTTCTACAGATCAGTTCAAGTTACTCTTTCCTTTACACTGGGATATATACAAAATATTTGATGCAGTATAATGTGCATGCTGTTGACACTAGAGTATACACTTAAATATATTTTAACATATATATATATATATATATATATATATATATATATATATATATATATATATATATATATATATATATATATATATATATATAGTATATTTTGTATGCCTCTCTGCAAAAATGTATATGTAATATAAGCATTATGTTGGCTGGATTTCTATGTGATCTCCATGTAGAGCGTGGCTCTGGCGTGCTGCAAAGTGAGGCGGGCAAGGCGAAACTGGCAAATTAAATGAGGCAAATACCACAATTTTGCCAAATTCTGCAAAATTAGGACGCTTCTGTTCCTTAACTCTGTGAGTTGAAAATCTTTTTTACATCAGCATCATGAAATCCAGTCAGGGACTAGATGTGGCATTGACCCACAGTGAACGATGTAGCGACGGGAACATTTTTAAACCAAATTGGAAGACAGGGAAAATAATGTTGAAAAAGGAAGGGGAATGCTTCTAAGAGGTTTGTCGGTGGTTTAAAAAAAAGCCTTTTAATTTATTCCTAGAAGGACTGTTTCATCGTTCTACCTTCAGTACAGACACCGGCCAGTCACTGGCTTCTCTACTCTGCTCAGTCCTCCGCTGTTCTCCTTCCATCTCCCGCAATTAACCAGGTATACCCACAGCTGTTCCTTAAAGGCAGCTGTCCTGTAGATTTTAGAGGTTTCCCTGATTCAGCATACTTAATTTCTATCAAAATCTGATTAACAGGCTTTTGCTAAACTGCAAAAACCTGTTAATGCCTTGTCTGTTCTCCCGATCTCCCACTGTGGTTACTTAGCTCCAGAGGGAGACATGACTGGCATGCTACAAGCCACTACTCACTGTATTAAATTTGTATCATCACCATTCAATATTCTGTACATTTCAACACTTACAGCTGCCAAACTTCAGAGGACACGAATGTGAGTCCATCGGGAAGTCCTCCAGATGCATGGGACATTCAGCCTGAACGGTCAACCTGGCAAGAAACACAAATATCTCTATAAAGCTGATGTTTGGAAGTCATGTTTACATGCTGTTGCAGCAGCAAAAAAAAGCCTCAATGACTTTGGGCATCATGGTAGGTATGGTATGGTATGGTATGGTATGGTATGGTATGGTATGGTATGGTATGGTATGGTATGGTATGGTATGGTATGGTATGGTATAGTATGGTATGGTATGGTATGGTATGGTATGGTATGGTATGGTATGGTATGGTATGGTATGGTATGGTATGGTAT